AAGACAGGGAGAAAATGATAAGAAATCACTATGTGGGACTTTATTTGAAGAAGCGACTGAAGATTAAGCCTCTTAAAAGAAGAAAAAGGATTTCAAAGTGGACATTTGACTAGGGTTAAATTGTATAAATTTTGATTTGGGGTTGTTGTAATTGGAATCTTTTTTTTTTTTTTTTTAACTAGGATTGCAAGACAATGTAAAGTTTTTTTCATTTGGGGATCAATCTTTTACCTCCTACTTGTAAGAGAAAGTTATGGATAAGAATGTAAAAGGGACCTATTGAATTTAGTTTCAAATATATATGTTACTATTACTGATACTCGTTATACCTGTGGGGATAAATGTTTTACTTATTAGAGAAAGTTGTAAGTCAAAATGCAAAATAGATTTGTTTAAGCTTAAAACATATAGGTTATTACTACTGGTGCTCTTAATGCTTTTGCTGAGTAAGACTGATGGATGAATCTTTCCATAATTTGGTTATTGTTTTAGTGATGAGAAATGGGAAGAAGAGGGGGTTTTTTTCCCCTGTAATATTACAGAAGGTGCTAAGTTACTGTAAATGCTTATACTTGTTTGGAGGGAGGGAGAAGTCACTTTTTCTGTCTTTTTCTCTTTTTTTTCTTTCTCTTGCCCTCTTCTTTTTTGTTTGTATACCTTTTTGAATTCTGTATTAGCGTTTAATTACGTAAAACTAATAAAAATATTATTGAAAAAGAAAAAAAAGAAAAAAACCACTTAAAAAAACCCATATTATCTTGAAAAAAAAAACCACTAGAGCCAGTTTGGTGTAGTGGTTACAGTACCAGGCTAGAAACCAGGAGACTGTGAGTTCTAGTCCTGCCTTAGGCGTGAAAGCTAACTTTGGGCCAGTCACTCTCTCAGCCCAACTCACCTCACAGGGTTGTTGTTTGGGGAAAATAGAAGGAGGAGGAAGGAGTATTAGGTATGTTCGCTACCTTGAGTTATTTATAAAAATAATAAAGGTGGGATAAAAAAAAATCTAAAAAAAAACAACCTGACAGTAAAATTTGACAGCCAGTCCAGTCAACCTTTATTTATGGAAGAGGCAGAATCTTATTTTTTTCATTTCAGGCAACAAAATATCTTCATTCTATTAAGACAGCTGCATCTGCACTGAGAGGATGAGGCTATCAAGCTATTTTTCTTAAGCCTGTAAGACCCATTGAAGTCTATTAGGTTGCAAATGGACTAGCATGCTGTTGGTAGAACCAAAAGGGCCATTTAAGTTAGCTGTATTATATGTTCATTTGATGTATAACTGACCTTACTACTGGTACCTTTCAGCTCAGTTTAGTACTTTACCACTGTGAACACTGTCATCCTAATACCATATTCTGAATCTGCTAAATACTGCGTAAAATTAGCAGACGTTGGACATTTCTTTCATGCATTTCCCTCATTAAACAAACCACAGGGCTTCATCAGAATTCCATTTCGGCAACCACCCTAATTAATTTTCTTCCTATGAGATTAAAAGTGGCAGACTGAGGTTTATGATAAATTATCAAGTATAAAGGAAGTGTAAACATGTTCATTCAATTACCTCTGATGCATCTACTGTCCTATTCATCTAGTGTCTAGAAACCGAGTAGACCTCACTGTTCCAAGTCCAGCACAATGAGAATTTTGGAAGGTTGGAATCTGCTGAATCAACATAGACATTTTTGTCAGTCCATCATCAATCAAATAACAATTTTTTTTAAAATCTGGGAAAACAAAGACTGCAGGAATGTAGACAAAACCTAGGAGCATATCCCAAAACATACATACAAAATTTGGTGTAGTGGTTAAGGTGCTGGACTCGAAACTAGGAGACTGAGAGTTCCAGTTCTCCCTTAGGTACGGAAAACCAGCTGGGTGACTTTGGGCCACTCACTCTCTCTCAGCCTAACCCACCTCACAGGATTGTCGGGGGGGAAATAGGAGGAAGGAGTATTATGTACACTGCCTTGAGTTGTAAAAAAAAATTAAGGTGGGATACAAATCAAATAAATAAATAAAATCCAGCCAATAGATGGATAACAACTTAAATACATGTGTATTTTTATTTAGAGTATATTGATGCTACACTCCTTTGACAGCTCATGGTAGCTTATAGAAATACAGCTAAACCAGATCTTAAAACATTATTAAACTAAAACAATACATATATTTCAAACAATTTGTTCCACAATATGACCTATATAATGGATCAAGCAGAATGAACAACTGATGTTAGATATCTCCAAGGGAAGGACCAGCAAAATGTGTGCCATTGATCTAAGGGTGCAGGGTGGACTGTACATTGGGTGGTCCTGTAAGTAGTCTGGCTCTAAGCCATGAAAAATTGTATACCCTCTTATGAGCAACTTGAAATAGGCTTCAGACTCAACTGGCAACATAGGAAGTTAACTGGGGCGTTCAGGAAGCACCACTCTGTTGCATTATAACACCCCATCACATGCTAGGCATTTCTGTTAGTACAGACTAGTAAA